TTTCTGTAGACTCTAATCAACGGCTCTGTGCAGCCAGTGAAATACCATGTGTATGAACAGACTAATAACACATATTTCAATGATTCTTTACTGTCATTGACTAGTCTCCGTGGTTAATATACATTAATGAGGACAGCGTAGAGGATAAGTAGCCAGCTCCACCAATGGGCTTCCCTGGAATGCTTCACTCCAGCCCTGAGGGAGGGACCACCAATGACTGCAGGGGCATAAATCAAGCTAGAGCCACCACACAACTTTATTGGCCCTATCCCTCCTCTGCACTTTGGATGTCTCAAGTTGTCTGTATCGCTCCGTTTCTAAATGTCTCTCTGTTGAGCTGGTGGTCTTTGAAAGGCTCTGCCTCTAGCTTAAGATGCATATTTTATCAGCCCGTTAGGTAGCTTACTCCAGGTCACACATCTGTAAGGCCAATGACTTGGCCCCAGGTGTAGTACAGGCACAACTTACTGAATGCCACCCACTGTTACTGACTCTTTCTGGCTGTGTCTCTCTCACCCAATATCTATTATTTTCTCTACTATCCCGCTTGAGAGCGAAGTGGAGCAGCAGCAATTTCTGCTCCCCCTCAAAGCATCTCACAATCATTTCCAGCCTCCTGTTTGCTCGTCGCTCACACAAAGACAAATCCCGCTCCTTCATGCTCCATTGCAAATATGGTAAATCTTGTCTTTCTGCAATACAACACAAAGAAACATTAAAAGGCATCAAGACTGATTAGAAAGCTATTGACAACTGATTCAACCTGAACAGAAACTTTGCCAATATAATAAGTTGTATGATATCTCGAATAAAGTGAAAGGAGGAAACTGAGTCTGGAGGAGGATAAGAAGAGCAACTGGAGTTCCTGGCACATTTGAAAACAGTATGTCATATACGGCTGAAACAATTCCTTGAGTAACTCCATTACTAAAAATCATCCTTCATTTAATGCATATACAGCCATACAGCGCACTGTGTTTTGCACAGGTTGTTATTATTATTACACGCTTTGGAGAAACAAACGCAAAACAACTAGCCTAGTAGGGCTGACTGATAAGTCGTATTTTCATCGTGCATGCACGATTTGGATGGAGACATAGCGGTGAATGAACGAGAATCGGGGAAGCGGGCCCTGGAGCTACAGAGCGGCGGATTTATGTATGGCCGACGCAGGCCCCCCCTGCGTTCTGCTCTCTGTGTTTGGGGTTGGACCGGCTCCTAACACGGACACACATCACGACACCACAACACACACACACACAACACACAGCACACCAGCAGCAAACACACAGGCTGGCGATCAGGAGGAGGTCCATGTGGGAGACTCTTAACGGATGCAACAAAGTGAAGGTTAACTCGAACGGTTTGAGTTGCAGTGGGACGAGCTGATGTCGTTTTACGTGGAGGCGCTGGTGAAGAAAAGCAGGTTGCGGTAGACAAAAGGGCTTGGTACGAAATACAGGTGGGATTGCAACAAGAATTCAACATGTAAACCTGTAGAGAAGTGATATCTGCTTTGTTCGCCACAAGCACAGCGCGCTAGCACGAGTAATAGCAAATTGTTACCAAAATAAGAGTTGTCTGTATGCCGTCTTTTTAGCTTAGCTCGTCACCAATCTTAAAATCTGACAAATTCTTGTTTTCAACTGAGCTGCTGGCTGAGACAAACCAGACCCTCCCCCTACCAGCGTTAACTGCAGGGACACTCTCAGACCAGAGGAGGACACAAGACAAGATGAATGACTGACACTCAGTATTTTGATGTCAGGAGTATTATTTCTTTTATTGACATTTTACATTTGTTTTACAGTGAGTTAATTATTGAGCTTTTATAGTGACTTTACTGTTGTAAACATTAGAGTTGCTGCTCTAGAAACAAGATCTAGTTATATTCAAAATATTAATTAATTCTTATCCAGGTCTGAATTTAAAAACAACCAGGCTGAGACAGCGACAACTGTATAGCTAATATTCACTCTTCAATCTCTTTGTTTATTTATTTATTAAAGAATGCAATCAATCATCTGATATCATGCAGCTTCCAGCTCTGCAGTTCCAAACATTGTACCTCTGGTTTAAATGTCTTTTATTCGTGGTCCTGATTCCTAGCTGCTAACTAGCTGTCCACAGTCTACGAGCAATAGAGTACGAGAAGACATCACAGTAATGTTGCACGAACATAAACTTTTTATTTAATTTCTGTGGCAGCAAACACCACACAAAGCCCTTTAGTAACTATTAGACTGCAACCTGAACTTCTCTTTACACTTTATGGCTGACTGAAGAAACGTTACTACTCCTCACACACCGGCAAAGACTCACTTCCCACAACAAACCAGCACAGGTCACCCACAAGCCCACCTTCTTTTACAGGGGAAGGCTCAGCAGGTAACACACAGCAGTTAGGCTGTGGGTGTGCTAACCAGAGGTGGAGGAAGGATCAGATCCTTCAGTAAAACAGTACCAATACCCCACTTTGACAATACTCTACTAAACACACTGCGTCATAGAGGAATCACTGGAAACCATTTAAAAGACCTCTTTTTTCTCTATTGTATATTTACTATTGCTCTATAGCTACTACTGCTTTAATAAAGCAAAACTATTTCTTGATGTAATAGTCGCTAGAATACCTGATGACTGAATGAACTGATAGCTGCAGCCCTAACGTCCGATCTGTTACACATGGCACGGAAGTTGTTACTTCAACATTGAACAGTGAAGGACCCTCACTTGTACTCTGCCACCTATCTGAATACAGATGCTCATGGGATGGATCAGTATCTTGGAGCAAGAAAGAAATCCTATGTTCCAAGCGGCTTGGCGTTCTAGGCACAATCATGTCCCTCAGCTCCCACACCCTGTTCCTATCTTTAGTTGCTTGGGCCTTAATCCCTCTTCCACAGTCCTGTAGCTCTCATGTAAGGACTGAAACTTCATCTGAAAAAGGCACCAAGAAATATTTCCCTAAATAGTTTTGGAGGCATCCAAATAATTAGTCTCATAAGGATTTGGGTGTGTTTATTATTAGGCTACGTTAAATTGTGCTGGATTTAACTAAATATGGCCATGAAATTAAAGCTCATCTGGTGTATTCCATGAAGGACCACTGTGTAGGATTTGGTGGCACAGCAGTGAAGTTGCAGATTGCAACCAACTGGAAGCCTCTCATCTTCCAAGCGTGTAGGAGAAACTACGGTGCCCGTAAAACATCACCAAAGACACGAAGCCAGCCGATGTTTGGTTTGTCCATTCTGAGCTACTGTAGAAACAGGGTGGTTCAACATGGCGGACATGGAGGACCCTCTCCCTCTCTAGATAAAAATGGCTCCTTCTATAAAAGGTAAAAAAAAACACAACTAATTTCTACACATTGGTCCATTAAAGAGTGGGACAGTTAGGTACGTTCTCCTTAACGACCTGGACCTGAACATGACAAACACCGACAACATCTACAAGAAAAAAGAAAGAGGAAAGCTCATCATAATATGTGTCCTTATCAAAACTCAATTCAAAAAACGTACAACTCATCAGCATGCTGTGGTGGCACAAAGGTACATTTCAAAGCTCTATTAACAAAATGATTAGCTCCACTAGAACACTGTTGTGAATTGCCCACTCTTCAATACTGCAGACAGTAAATCAATATAGGCTAAATCAATTGCCATGATTGACACACATGCTGTGGCATAGTCAAGTGTGATGGATGAACTACTGGCAACAACTAAAAAGGAAAAAGCGATTGCAAGACAGCAGCACTTGAGGAGCAGACTGATCTTCAGTGGGCTGGATCAGTGGATGCAATTACGCACAACCAGGGGTTTCCCTGCATACAATATTCAGCTCAAGCATCAGAACAGAAAGGGGAAGCAACATAATCCGTGTTGACTTTGCCATCTGCTCTGACATAATCCGAGTGCAGCTTCTTTATTGATGATGAAATAAGAGCCCTCAAAACTACCAATACAACTTTTTACAATCTGATGGTAAAAACTGGTAGCAAAGTACCCAGCCCCCCTCCTAATCTAGCTCAATGCACTTGCTAGTGACAGCGTATTGCAAGACCTTTGACATGAGGTTGTATGGCAACAAGTTGCCCCCGGCCTAACCTGTGCAACAAAGCAGTGCAACCTCACCCATTAGTTAAACTGAGGGATATTTTACTCAAAGTGGACTTCTTAGATCATATGTCCTCTCTTTACTGGTGCCTGTGGACACCAACACAGCCCCCTTTTATTTTTCTGTGTGTGGTTTTTTTTTTTTTTTTTACATAGTGCTATTTTCAGTCTGAACATCCCCTAAGAGACTGAGTGAAACTTCAATGTACATGCTGAAAAAGATGATCTTTGCTATAACCTGAGTAAACGTTAAGTAATACACTGGCCAACAGCTGGATGTGTCCAGATGGTGACCAATGTCCTCTATGATGTGCACAAACACCTCCATTTGCCACAGCCACACTTAATGACAGCTGGCTGGCTGGGCTGCCATGCCGAAACAGTGATGGAGAACTGAGTGCTGCCAGCCAGCCGGCCGGCCTAACCCAGAAGTCAGGCATCCAGCCAGCCAAACTGCCAGAACGTCTCTGTTGGGCCAGCACAAAGTGTGGTCTCTCACAATGTGGCTTGTGCACTTCAGAATAGCCAGCAGGAAGGCAACATGCCAGTCATTCATACATCCATCCAGCCAACCAACACGGAGCTCCGGCTACTAACCAAGCATCACCCTTCAACTGCTCTTCAGTGTTTCTCCTCCCTCCCTCCCTCCTCCTTCGTTCCCCATGCACCTAGCCAGCTAAATATAGTCCCCTTTCAAATCCCACAGGCCCACAAGGGTCAGGGTCTGCAGAGCAAACACACACCCCAAACAAGATCTCTCTATCACACACTGGATGAGATCTCGTGTACCCATCAACACAGACGGCATTAAAAGCACAAAGAGCGGCACAAGTGAGCACAGCACAGACAGACAAAATATGGCCTCGGTCCTTTCTGCATTACCGTTACACAAGGCACTGGGTGACTGCAATGTTCCAACCATGACGACGCTGTGCTAAAATAGAAAAACAGGGGGATGATGACAGGCCTGCTGCTGGCTGTGGACACAAAATGCACAAAATGACAAGCATACTGTAGACCATTTGACAGATGTGCAAGCTCAATTAAGTAGGAGTAAAATGTGGCTACATTTGAATACAGCTGTGCAGATCCATGCCCAGTTGCCAACCTCTTACTTGACATGTTTGGAGCAAAATTTCAAAAAGCATACAAAACGCTCTTACGGCCGGGCCACACTGCCTGCATGTGCATTCATTTAAGTTAACAAGGCTTTTATTGTAATGAATTTTTCAAAAAGGTACACTCAATGTAGAAGGAGGGCTGGCAGCACAGCAACAAAAACACTCTGCACTGTCCACACCGCTCAGGTAGGCAGTGAGGCTCAGCTGTTAGGTGAGAGGTTTGAGTCCACGAGTCCTCAGAAAAGGATTCTTTCCTTTATTATGATTATTCAGCTTCCGCAAACGAAAATGCTTTTCAGGACATACACTGAATGTTCACTTAACAAGGTTTTGACTATCTGTATTTGAAATGTGCTGCCATTGTTAAATTCATTATATGCTTTGCTCTCCACACACCCATTTCATGTGTGACAGTGTGCGTGTGTATGGCATTGGCAACACTGCAGCACTAGTGCAGATTAGGAGGTAGTGTTAATTAGAGAAACTGCACACAGCAGCGTGTCGCTAGATCACGTAGCTGACCTGACAGCGGTGGCAGGTCAGCGTCTCCCTGCGCTATGCCATCTGTTTACCTGTAAAAGCCAACCACTCCCAATACCTCCGCCTGCCTAAGGATAGCAATTATCTGCCCCCACCTTCTTCACGGTTTTTCTTCTCTTTCTTTCTCTTCATCCATCCTCACAACCTTCTGATTACGTCACAAACAACCACTCCTAGACTTGTTTTGGTACAGCTTGTTCTCCATCCTTCTCTCAACTCATTTACTTGTTGATTTCAGTTTGAAAAGGTGATCTCTTGGCTTCAGACGCTTCTTACTGACACCTATGTCTTTGCCAGTCTCAGCTGAGCATAAGGATGATTCAAGGTTGGGATGGCCTCATTTGCAGCACACTGTCATTTGACTTTAATCACGTCGGCCTTAATGCAGACTCCAACACTGGGCTCTGACCACAGGAGTTTTGGGCGTTGATTCCAGATTCACCCCTCCTAGCAATCAGAGGAGAATTCTGGGCAGGAACCTGGTAACGTAATATATTCATTTCTCCCTCTGACACGATAATCTTTGCAATATCCTGTAGTGTGTGATGCGCCATTATTTTCAAATTTTGTGGTGTGTGCATGTTTGCGATTAAACATTGGCTAATGTGCATGATGCAACCTGATTTCAAAATCTGTTTTCAAACTCCTGTAGTCTGAGCCTGGTTTAAGGATAATTTAAGAAAGTGTACTTTACTATTAGCCTGCTAGCTGCATGTGACATCTGCTGTGTGTCCACTGCATCTACTTGCATTGCTGTAGTCTTCCAAGTCTGAGGAAAGTAAACTGATAGAATTACATTGACTGGAACATCCAGAAATATTCAGCACACACAAACATGCATTAAACCTAACAGTGGAAGTTGAGGAAGCAAAAAGGTCAAACAAAGAGAAATGTACTGATGAGATTATCAAGCATTTCTTCTTCTGTGTTTGTTAATCTGAACAAAAAAAGTACACGATGAATGAGAAAGTGAACCTTCCAACTTAAAAGGCAATTACAGCAGCAGTTACTCCAGGGGTTGCTATTGATTTTTTTTTCCTCCTTCCCCTCTTGTGCTTCCTCTCTTTCGTACTCGTTTTCCCACGCATTGGCAATTAGTATGCAGAAGTGAGGCTGCAGGAGAGTAAACTACCTGGGGAGCCTAACCCCAAAGTCACAAACAAACAAACAAAACTAACGGTCAAACGCAGAGACAAGGACGCATATACACAATATCAGAATATGAGGGGATGGACTACATTATGTCAATCAGGGATAAGCAGCTAGCTTTAGCCACTTCAGCTGCCCATGTAGTGTCTTGCTGAAAAACAGGGATAACATGTAGACTGGCAGACATCGGCAGGAAAACAGCATGAGCTCTCGCAACCTGACACCAAATGGGCTTCTATCTAATTTGGGGGTTGCTATGGTTGTTGCCTGTCTTTTGCATTTCTAATTGACAAGAGGCTAGAAACATGGGATCGTTGTCAGTTTACGAGCCAACATCAAGCTAGTTGAATTAGGGCGCATCGTTTAGGACACTGATGCATCTTGATTTATTATAATGCTGAGAGACGTGCACACACGAAAGTACAGGCAGTTATTATATAAACAGCCCATATTCAGCACGAGACAGATCTGGGCCGAGTGAACAAAACAAGAATGAAAGGAAGAGGCGATGAGAAGGACTGGGAGTCTGGTTTTGCTAGGCTATAGCCATCAGAAGAGGAAAAGAGAGGGAAAAGCCAGGTCTTCTAAACCTGAAACAGTGCTGAGGCCATGAGGACGGCTTGCTATTTATAGCGACAGATTTTTTATTCAAGAGCGCTCTGCTGTGGTGCTTTCTCTCACGCTTGTGCTGCACCTCTCTCTCTCTCTCTCTCTCTCTCTCACCTCCTCTCTATTCTCTCTCTATTCCTGCACATTGTGTTCCACAGATACGGGGGTAAAACACTGAAATATGCAGGTGTAAATGTACATTGTCTTTAGAGATAAAATGACATTCCTAATGTCCAATCCATTCATGGACAACAGTCCTAATCGTAACCCATTACAACACACCTTCCAGCCAAGAG